AATGCATTGTGATGAAGACTGAAGAGAGTAAGTCTCTCACCAAAAAAAACCGTGAGTAGAGAACCATTCAAAAGTTACCACTCTTTCTCTCTTAAGTGTTTTTTTATCCAGTTRATTTTATACACTTCAAACGGTTAAGAACTAACTGAAATGACTGGCTAAGGCAACAGCCAAAACATGAGCTTCTGAGAGTAAGCTGTAAGAGTAACTAAAAAACACAGTGGTGTGAAATGACTASTGCAAGTACAATAAATTATATTTTAAAATAACACCAAAAAAAAAAAGAAGTTACAGCACTTCCATCAGTATTGCACAAACTCAGCATTTGCACTTTTCCAAATGCTATCAAGTCCATTTTTGTCCTAAAGCTATAGCTTTCTGCAAAACATGAATTCATGACATATGCCCATTTGAAACAAGTTTAGACAGTAAAACCAAAATGCCTGCACCTCACCCAAGCAATCCACTAAAAAATAAAAAACTGGTAAGGAAACAAACCTAAAGCAACAAAAATCCCTAAGCAACCTTCTTACAGGAGTAACTTGTGGATGAAGGAGTGGGTGGAAGAGTAACTAAAAAATAAACAAGAGCTGCAAACCAATTCTGAACTATCTTAAATACACGAYTATCTGCTCAAACAATAAAAACATTAGTTATTTAAACTGCTTCCTAAGGGACACTACAAATTATACTAACTAAAAGACCAAAGAAACCGARCTCAAATTAACATTCTAATAGGAAAAAGTGGTTAAATTGTTGGAAAAGCCAAGTATGGTAGATAGAATTTAACTTAAAACCTGTTAAAAACCTAGTTTCAGAATGTCTGCTGTGTTGCAGCTGTGCATTAGGCTTCTTCCCTTTCCTATAAATATCCCTTATTTTCTCATCAGTGTGTTTATCAGATCCCCCAGACAGCCTGCACAGTCATCAATTTTTGTCATACGAAAAAAACTGCAAAACACAACTTCAAAAATGAATTTAAGCATTACATTTCCCTTCAGGACAAAAGGAAAAAAAAAAGTACAGACTTCCATTTACAGGGACATACACCTTTGGTGATGATGTTTAATACTAACCATGCTAACTTGAGGTCAAAACGTCAACAATTTCAATRCCCAAGTAGTTCCTACAAAATCCATAGCCTCACTCAAGTCCACTGGAGGTTCAAAGGGTCAACGAGTTCCCTCACAAAAGGAAGCATTTGACAGGGCTGATTACAAGACTGGACACTGCAACAGCTGGGTACTATGAATATTTGCTCCATAGCTATCCACAGGCAAAAAAATATATATTTTACACAGAAGGCATCTAGTTTCAGTTCTCCATTCTTACAAACTCTATGTCTGCACACTGACTTGAAAGAAGGAAGCCCTACAGCAGCCCTTGAACATCRCCTCTGTGGGGGTTTATATGCTAAAGTGGCAATAACTGACACTTCACATTCTGACTCTAAGTAAAATGAGATTCCAACTCCAATTAAACTGATTTAAATCTAAGAATATTTCCCTGGTTTGCCAACAGCTCTCTTTTCAAACATAAACTCAGACTAGCTCAAAACATTTCTCCCCTAATATTACTGGTGCCATAATTTCTGGGACAGAACTGAGTAAATTYGATTCACTCCAGTGCAAAACATTATTATTTTCCACCCTAGGAACTTCCTACAGCTCATTCCTGACAAGGGAAACCAAAAAGCTAGTATGCGATTAGCCTACTAAAAAAGTGTTGATAAACGTTCAAATGGTGCTGAACCAGCACACTGAGTGGCCCAAAATTTATAGATGTTATTTATGAAGCAAGACAGTTATTACTGGTTAYAAATATTTTCACACCTTAAAAGGATGTATGTAACAAACTGAATCCTGATGSATTMAAGCTTCCAGGATAATATGCCAAAAAATTGGATTTTTCATGCAAATGTCCAGAAATTTCACAAAGAAGCATGCAGGCACTTCTTTTACACATGCAAAAYCCCTATCTAAAAGAGAAGCATCCACTATAATTAAAGACTTCAGAGAAAATGAGATTACACTAATTTTATGGCACATCAAGTGTTGTGTCAACGCTTTGGCCAAAGTAACTGTATATAAATCTGCATACTCAAACTCACTCACTAAACTCCAAAAAYAGCTGTGCTCTGATCTATCTCAGACTTGCCAAAGCGCTTACTCCAATGTCCTTGTGTTAAACTGTGCTGGAAATCTCTTAGCAGAAAAACACCAGAACCCTCCTCTCTCTGAAAAAAAAAATGAAAGTATCTTTTAATTTCAGAATGTTAAAATGTGGGTGTAAGATAAAGTAATGATACAACTATCTCCCTCCACAGACAATGAGAAACTGAATGTCAAAGTGCACTGCAATGTATAGTAAAATATTCTTTAACCTCCCAGTGGCAAGGGAAAACAAGACGAAAAGGAAGTGGGGGAGAAAAAAGAGAAAAAAAAGAAGAAAATTAGATCTCATTAACTGAGATCTAGCCAACCACATAGCAGAACCTACACGGTATGTTTTTCTCTAATCCTTGAGAATTATTCATGAAAATGTCACTCCCAGACACGAGTTCTAACTTTCTCTTTAAAAAAGCCTGGCACGAATAACTTATTACTTTCAACCCTTAAAAACCCCGAGCCTCAACCTAGCCATGCAGTATAATGCCGCTGTATTTACTGCCGTCATTCTCAAAAGAAAAAAATCACATCAAATCTGCAAAAGCCTTTTGCAAGCCAAACCTCCTTTACATAATAGATTCAAAAGTATCAAGCACTAGGCCTTTAGACTACCATACGAACAATTTCTGTTGCGCTATGTAAGCTTGGCAAGCGTGGTCCAGCACCACGTTCACCGAGAACACCCTCCCGAGTACCCAAGTCCCCGCATGACAGCACTTCCAATCCCATTTCCTCTCACGATAAGCCTGGGAGCGCAGACGAGAGAGATCCCCCCACTGCCATCTTTCCAGTAATTCCAGAAGGAGCAATGACAACCAGAAAGTCAGACAGAGGAACCAACCAGCCCTGCCAGGGCCCTTCGCTGCTTGCGGGGGGGGGGGGGGGGGGGGAGGGTTCCACGGGTGTCTCGGGATCAATAAGGGGGCTGGAAGAAAATAATTAAGGGGGCAGGGTGGATGCAGGCCTTAAAATCGCAAGCAAAGCTCAGAATTAGTTACATATGAATGATGAAAAAGCTAAATACAAAAGAAAATACAAAACCACAAAACACTCAAAACCCAGCACCCTGCCTTGCTAACATAAAGTCTCCAAATATACCCGCCCCCACATGAGAATCTATGGGGGAAAACCCCACAATCTCCCAACACCGCCACCACAGCACACCCCCCCTACCCCGCGGCCTCCCGCCGCCCCCCAAAGCAAGCGTTCGGTTCCCCCCCCGCCCCTTACCCGCCGCGGTCTCGGTCGCGGCCCCGGTCCCCGAAGCCTCTCATCGCCCCCGGAGGGGTGGGCGAGAGGCAGCGGAACGCCGGCCGTGGGGACGGCGAGGGGCTGGGGGTGCGGGGAGAGGGTCCAGCCAGGGGCGGCTGCGCCTCGGAGGCCTCGCTTTGCGCCACCTCGCCTCTTTGGTGGGACACAAAAGGAGAAGAGGTGGTCAGTGGGTCCGAGACCCGCTGGGCGTCAGCGGCCGGAACGGCGGGGCTCTCGGTCGGCTCCAGGGCCCGGGTAGTGTGGAGACACCAGCGTCTTCTTCCTCCGCGCTCCCGGCACAAAATGGCCGCCGCCGCCCTGGCCCGCTSCGCTTACGTTACGGACGGCCTGGAGCTGCGCAAACTGCGGCGCTCCGAAACACCTACGCCTATTCATGGAACCAAACTACGTACTTAGCGCGCTCGGTGAAATACCGCCCCGTGCAGTAGCAGGCGGACTACGAAAAGTGCGTAATGTTCTTTACTTAGAGCTCGGSCTCCGCGTGAGGAAGGCGGAGGTAAGGAGTAACGCTATTCCTCAAAGTCAGCTGCGCGAGGAGCGCGCTCCGTTACCCCTTCTGTCCGGCGGGGAACACCTGGGCCGAGGCGCACGTTACGTAAATGCACGGCGTACGAAAGATGYGTAGGGCAGGAAGAGCCTAGGGCAGGAAGAGCCCGGCGCGCTTGGCGTAACATTCTTRCGCGGACCGTGCAGGCAAGGCCGGAGGGCTACGCTGATTGCGTAGTACGTTTGAAGAATACGGCCCATCGCCTAAGCGACCACGGGTTCCGCCGAGGTAGCGGCGGCGTTGGGGACACAATAATGGCGGGATAATAATGGGACAATAGTCGGCGGGGAGGGAGCGGCCCCTTGGACCTCTGTGGCGGCTCCGGCGGGCCGAGGTTATTCCCTGTCATATTTGTAGGGGCATCTTGGCGCGGCGCTGGGGCAGGAGGGCAGTGACAGCGGCTATGATGTTTGCTGCCGCCTGGGCGCCAGCACGCCGAGCGATAACTCCCAAGATCAGCCAGAGACTCCTCGCTGAAAGACAGAAGAGTCCATGAGGCGTTTAGTGGGACAGTTCTGTGCTCTGTGTGTGCGCTATTGCCAAGTCCGTGTGTCCTGGCACAAGGAGCCGTGTCCTATGGATGGTGGGGTTAACACCAATCAAACCCAGCCCCAACCCAAACCGTGTTATCGCGAGCAGCAGGGCTTTCTGGGCTGTCAGGTTATCAAAAACTGGTTATRCTGGCAGAAGGGAAAGCGAGTCCCCTTTACTTTGAGGCCCTCGGACAGCCTAGAACAATACTCAAATTACCATTTTAGTTTCACATGCTACATATACACACACACATATATGTATAGATATATGTATGTATGTATGTATCACATGTGAGAAAGCAAAAAGCAGTGTTGGTGCTTAAAGTTTATTTCTTTAGAGAACTAGACAAAAGGTTTTCAGGTGTTGAGTTGCACCTAGATTATTTTTCTCATGAAAGATCAATGAGATTATTGAGAGAAGAGTTTAACTCAAGCACCCAATCATAGTCAGACCTCTGTTCTAATTAGTAATCTTTATWTTTAACTGTAATAAAAGAACAGGTTTAAAATACTCTGTCCAAAAAGTAGAAAATGCTAAATAAAAACATAAACATTATCAAGTCCAGATAAAAATGCTTAAAAATGTATTTTTAAAATTACTTTTTCCTCTACAGTACATAAAAATCCATCAAGTTATTGAGCTGTTGTTCCTCCCACAGCCTTTTCCATATATGTATGTCAATTTTATAACTGAGTTTATTCCAATTCTGTTCCATTTCACACTGTTAAATTCTACCACTTAGACACTGTCTTTGAAATACATTAAGAAAGACTATATTCACTCTTATCTGAAACAATAGGTTTGATTTTCACAAAACATAGGAAGAGGATTCTAAGAACAATTCACAATCTTATTGCTTAAATCTTTGTGTGGTGAAAGTTGAACTGAAAAACAAAGATCCTAAATTAACCAAATTCAGTTAAACTGAGCTGTACAAAGTTCTTCCCAGTGTTCTCCCAGAAATATCKTAAACAGTTCCCAAAAGCTACAAATGCAGCCAGGTAGTCGTCGACCTTGCACAAATCTTCACACCAACTACCCAGCTGGTTTTTAAGTGTACATTTACATCAGTTTTTTACCTATTCTTTGGCATCCCCAATCCCTCCAGCAGTTATTGCAAATGTGGCTTCATTTTCAGGCATCTCGGGGCTAGGAGAAAAACAAACAAGAAACTTGTGGGTTTCTCCCTGTTAAATGCAATTGTGAAATAGTCTCCAAAATGTTCTGTGTGTCAGCAACCTGGAACACATCAGTGCCTTTATACCTTCGTGCAACTGAAGAATGTGATCAATATCATCAAGATCAGAAAATGTGAAATTATTGTGTCAGGAAAACTTAGAAATTTAGCATGCCCAGAATTTTCTTGCCATTTTTCTTACCAGTCCTACCAAAGTATCTGATTGTCTTCATAATGAGATGAGTACCTAGTAGGATTTATGATGAAAGATTATGTAACTTAATGTATGCGATATGCAAGAAAACTTTAATTAAAGTTGTTTAATCTGTTAATTAGTTTGCCCTTTCAGATTTTCTCCCAATATACCATCCAGTTCAATACCTTGAACTTTGTCAWCTTAGCGTTGCTCGTAACATGGGTTCCCCTCCTGCAAGGGAAAGGTGATTTACCTGTCATATATCTTTGCAATACGCAGCTCCCCTCTCCCTTTCCTCAGACTGATCCTGGTAGTCGAAGCATGAGCAAGGATGTGGCCCCCAATGGGTTTTTTTGGGTCTGCCTGAAAGCTGAATTAGCAAGAAAATTGTGGTGATTCATTGTGCAAATTCTAGAGGTTAATACTGTGATTAACTGTCAGGCTGAGACCTATTCAACTCAGTAACGAATAATCAATAGGGAAATACATTAAAAACCCGACTTTAACACACTTGCCTCAAGATAAGATGTTCAAATATTCAGTGCTGGCATCATTTTTCTGTCATTAAATTCAAGAGGCTCAAGAAATACATACCTTAAACATCACATACAAACTGTTTCAAAGGAAAATGTGGTGYTTTTCCAATACTGCTTATAGCCTGTTTTCTTCATTTAAGTCACAGTGAATCACACCACCATACCAGGCAGCAAATAAGAATAAAAAAGCTCATTCCAAAAACTGAGAGACTTACAGGTGTCATTACTTATGACTCCTAATACCAAAGGGAACAATCTGAGCTTTCATTTCAGTGCCTCTTGCTCTATACAATCTMCGTTCTCATCTCTATAAAATATATAATACATACAGGAAACTTTTTTAAAGAGAGAGAAAAAGTATCTTACGTCATAGTTGCTCCGGGGTCAGCAGTCATCTGGTTGGTCACAAACACRGCCACATTATATTCTGCAAGAGAAAATAATGCAAAGGTAAACTACATCCAATTAGAATTCCAAAATATTATGTCATCCATGGTAAAAGCAAGGCTTCTAATGAAGCACTTCAAACTTCAAATCAATGAGAAGCAAATACTCTTTATGACTGATGGCTGCAGTTAATCAGGAGACAACCTAGATTTGGTCCTGTGAGGCTACAGCTGTAAGATGCAAAAAACGAGCTCTTTTCAGAATTACAGTGAAGAAATCTTTCTCAGTTCCCATCGTCTCTGTTGGCTCCCTGCCCTCAGCCCCCTCTACTCCCCTTTCTCTGCCTTTTTTTTTACTGCACAAGAAAAGCATTTACTCATTCCTATTCAACATTTCTAAGACATTCCAAAGGGAAGGAACTCTATTCATCCTGTCATCATCCCTCAAAGCATTRCAAAGTATTGAGAAAGTGGCAAGAGGCATGGCTTTTTTGCTTCTCTGTGTCTTCATCCTTTTTTTTCTATTCTTTATCTTTCTTTTGTTTTACACTGTTGAAATTTGGGGAATATAATTACTCTTGCAGAACATTTGTCCAGTTTTACAACCTATTCTCTCATTTAGGACTTTTTTTCTAAAAAAAACTCTAAATGTTGAAAATTACAGAAGTTTTCTCCATTTGTCATTTAGAAATAATACATTATCAGTTTRATCTTTTTGAGAACTGACAGAGATATAAAGTGAGGAAAGATTCCTGGCCCAGTGCCTGATTGATAATATACTTGGACTACATTTGGTTGTGCTACCAACAGCTACAGGTAGTGACTCCAGTCCGTGTTTTCCAAATCTTACAATGTTTCCCTTACCTTCTGATATTTTTTGCAGCCTTGACAACATTTGAGCTAGTTTCTGTTGTCGTTCAGCCAACTCTCCACGACCACTGAAATCCACACGGAAAAGTGCCATTATGGAGTCAATGATCTGCATTGTAATCATGCTAGATAAGTAAATATAGTGAAAGAAAATAGGAAAACTTATTCTGAAAACAGTAAGCATACAGAAAAAACAGTCTTGTACCAATAACTTGAAGATACCAGCTTCTTCATGGAATTTGGCTGCTACATAGTCAAGCAATTCCATCTGATGTTCACCTGTTGGGAAGAAGAAAAGCAAGAAAAATTAGGACCAGAAAGAACTCTGAAGGAACAAAAGCATGAATTTTAAAAGTACATTTTAAATGTCGGCACTGTTTGTATTTTCACTGCCAGCTGTTTTAAATCCAGTGCCTGTGCTTTGGCAGGTTTCAGTTTTCTCTTGCCCATTTCATAAAACTTCTTTGTGAAAATCTTCACAACACTCTGTATGAGGACAACTTTTTGTGCTGAACTGGAAAAAATACAAACATTTTAATGATGAATTAAAYGATACACAGAAATTGTTTTAATAATATTATTTATGTTCACATTGCACTCTCAAGGAAGTCCCATTTCAAACTTCCCTGAAGTTTTAAAGCAGTGTCTAGTGACAGAGTGTGTTGGAGCTGCTAATAAACTGAGAACGCTAATAAACTGAGAACTGCTAATAAGCTGAGAACTTTTAAGATTGGTACCTTAGAGGAAAAAACATAGATACCATGCCAGTTGCAATAATGCTCTTACTGGTATATGCACGTGCATACAGCACATTGTCAAGTACTGCCTCGTGGTCAACATTGAAGCGATCAGCAATGTCACGCAGGCGGTCTGGTCGGCTGGCATTAGTCAGAGTTAAGGATTTCTCTTTGTCAGAGCAAACCATGCTCTGAAAATAATAAAACTCCATTCTAAAATAGGACTGGGGGGGGGGGGGGAAGAATATTTATTTTAATCCTAGAGAAGACTGGCTTTTTGTCTTCAGGCTGTCCCACGTACCCTAAAGATAGTTTAGGGCTCACAATAATAATTGTTTTGTGTTTAGGGTTTGAGGCGGGGGGTTGACATATGGATATCTGTGCTCTAGGAATTGAGCTGTGAGCAAAACCTGTTTATACACAGTCTACTGCAAATCTGAAGTGTTAAAAATAGTGTTTAGTACTTAGATAAATTTATCTTGAATAGAAAAGCTGCTATAACATGTAGGAGGCCTACTAGATCTCAAAAAAAACAAAAACCCCAAACCCAACCAGCCAAACAAACAAACAAAAAAAAAACCCAGTAAAAATAAAATCCAATTTTTAACTCTTGTTTTGCCAGGTTGGATTACATCAAATGACAGAAGAAAAAATCACTTCCTTGTGGGCCATTACACACTGTGCTCTCCAGGATTTCTGCGCCAGTCATAATGTTTTACATGTATGAAGGTACCAGGAGCCTCCTACTTCCTTATAACAAAAAAAACCCAGTTCATCACACCTGTAGCTTTAAACAGTCAAAAAGATACAAAGTGTTTTCGGTATCAATGAAGATAATCTTTCCACCTGTGTAGCCATTTGGCCCTGGGAGCTGAGCTGTGACTGCAGAGAATCACAGAAGACCAAAATGAAAAAGCAGGAAAAATATTTCCTTACTCCATCCTATTAGTATTTCTTAAATAAAATACAACTGTTTATCCATATCACAGAGAGATCAGTTTTAATCAATGTGAAAATCAGACTATCTTGTCTTACTGCCATGTTGAGAATAAACTCAAGTCGCTTTTCTCTATTGCAGATCAGATGAGATTTAATTAATGGTGTCAAAACTGTTTTACTCAGTACCATCACTAAATCTGTGTCTTTTAAGGATATTATTAGCAAGTTCTTACACACAAAGCATCCTCTCAATCCTCTGCAAATTAATTCTATTGGCTTAGTACAGGGTTTTTCCAGCTGTAACATATGATCAAAATTTCTTTGCAAATGAATTTTTCCTGATATGCAAATAGTTGCTGATTGAGGGTTTAGTCTCTTTGGAGTGAATAAGCTAAAATACTCAATCCAGTTGTAACCATTCATGCAAAAGGGTAGGGCTCTGCTGACCATTAAACTGCACTAACCAGAAAGGCCTTATTTTTCCAGAGCATGCCACATTTCACTTTACAATATACGGTTCATTAAGAGAATTTGCCTATCCAGTGTAATTCCAGCATCATTAATAATTATATAAGTTATTGCTTACTACTATTTATACATCAAGAGATATCTCTGGGAAATCAGAGTCCTKCTGTATTTGGCACTGCCCAAATAGGGTGACTGCCAAAGTCTTTGTTTATCTGACAGCCAGTAGTACCCTTTCAGTGCCCTTTCAGAATGTCATATTCAGCAAAACCTCTTGAAATCCGGACAAAGAGTTGCTGAGAAAAAAAATTGCCTCTGTCCTTTTCTGAGTAATTCCCCCATCTACGTGTGACCTGTATTTGTGCTCTGCTTTTCCAAGTGGTGTGTTTCACTGGTTTCTCTAAGACAGCCTATTATCTTCACTCTCCTTGTAGCAAAACTTAAATGGATGTGAGCAGTATTAAAAAGTAATAATTTATGAGTTCTCTACTCAAACACAATTAATGGAGATAAAAGTCACCAAAGTCTGTTTCACTGTATTTCTATAAATAAAAACTTCTGACTTGTCTCTATGTGTTTAATTCTGATATAGTTGTAAACAATGGATTGACTAAGAAACATCACTCTCTTTTAAGGTATCACACCTACCACAAAGAGTGTGAGATAGCTGGGTTTTGCCTGTCCGGAACTCTGTTAAATAAYGAAAAGGAAAAAGGAAAATCAGGGCTTCTTTTTTCAAGTTTGACAGATTCAGGAATTACTGCAGTTAGAAACATTCTTACTTACAAAGTTCACCTCTATCTCTACCGTTTTTAATAATTTAACCKCAATTTATAAATCATATGCTGTGCAGGAGAAATATGTTACATGAAAAGCAGAATCTGAAATGCTTTAATTTGATCATGCTTGACTGCTAAAGTCATTTATGCTCTTGTTTGTAGAAGTTAAAACCACACAGCACCTGTGGGCAAGTGATAACTGGGGGGTGGGGTGGGGAAGAAATGTTTGATTCCATTAATTGATTCCATTTGATTCCATTCCTAGTCTCATTTTCAGTAAAATTATCAAGGAGAAGCTTACAAGTTTATTAATCTCTATTAAATCACATTAGTCTCCAGTTTMTCTTTTCTAAAGGGAACAATATGTGTTTTATGAGCTCCTATTGTTCAAGGGTCAAGCAACAACTAATCAGATGTCCCATAACAGTAGCTTAATTGTAATTCCAAAATCTTACATAAAATTCAGTGTACCCCAAGTGTGCATAACTACAATACTTTCTGGAGCAATTTTGTTACTGGAAAGGAACACATTGCATCAGGGAGAACTTTGGCATGTTAGTAATACACTTAATAATATGTTGTACTGAATCAGCATACCCAGTAATGATTACTCAGCTCAAACTTAGCCTGTAAAAAATGAGGAGGAACAATGGGAAAACACTAACAGAAGTGGATTATTTCTTCTTGCACTCATGTAGGTGCTCATCTTTGTAACTACAATGTGGTAAATTTGATAGAAGTAATTCAAGTTGAATTAAAATCAAAATTAAGTTGCAATTTTTTGTTCAGTAATACTCATAATGTGGTTCTCTCACCTCCAAAGGCCTCAGTGATTGCCATGCTCTCAATCCCACCACCCAGAAGTTTACTGCAGAAAGGGAGAGGATTATGATATAGTTAAACCCACAAAATCACAAGAGAAAGTAAAAGAGAGACATTTTACTACTTTAAGGAAAGTAATTTCTGCCCTGAAGCCCCTCACTTGATGCATTATGTGCAGGGCACTAAACAATCATTTATTCACAAAGAATTAACTCTGTCTTTACTTCCCTTTTTGTGTGCAAGAGAAAGATCTAAAGAAATTGTTACTGGAAAGAAAGAGGAGAGAAAACAAGATTTGAAAAGATAACATTCCATATGAATATATCAAGGGAAGTCTTGAAGACTTGCAATTTTGACCTGAAACCTGCAGATTATTTTGATAGGTGAAAAAATGACACAGCCAAGATTTCTGGGTACCAACTATTTATTTACAGTGATTGTACAAAGTCCATTCTCCCTCAGGAAAGGAGCTGGGTTTGATGCTTAATGATGCAGGCATCCTTTAATCCCACACTAACTCCAGAAGCAAGGGGACCTACATGTGAGTGTTTATTCCCTTATATTTCTGTATCTCATTAAAGATAATAAAGATCACTGTTAGGAACATTTGGATAAGGATGTAAGAGAYAAGCTTACTCAAATTCCTGGCTGCCAGTGGAAATATGAAATACCATCTTCCGTTTTTCACTGTACTCAAAGGCAGTGAGGAAGCCTGGTTCCTAGGGAAGACCAAAGAGAATGTAAGAGGTTTATTTTAGCTTTAACCTGAAGTTGAAAGTTCAATATCCCACATAAATATCTTCTTTTCTCCCTAGCCTCATTCACACATGTTGGGTATGGAGTAGTGGAGTATAAAGTATTATCTCTTAAGGTAACAGGCAGAGTAATTTTCAAAGTTATTTTAATGATGCAGTGGGAAATCTGCTAAGAGAAATGTTGCACACCATTTTAGACAGGCCAGAATAAGTTCAAACTCTCATGAAAGTGACTGGCTTACAACAAGCTTGTTTGCTGCTTCYTTAATCTTGTCCACTTTGGCCTCTGAGAGCCCTTTCACATTGCACAGCGCCCGTCTTGTGGTCATCTGGATTCCTTTGATCGTGCAAATCCCAACTGCCTTCAGCTTTTTAATATCTGCTACATTCTGCAAATAAATTTCATTTCTGTGAGTACTCAGGATGGTTAACAACTAGAAGGGTGAAGTAAACCTTTGAAACATGTTTTAAGTTTACATTTATATGTACATGGTTTCACCAAGTAAGAAACAGGTTTACAGTAAACTCTTCATTGTGTAGTTTGTGACATGAACAAGAAAATTTTGAGTAACATTGGTGTGAGGGATCATGATGCAGAGAGCAGCTCCTGGTGGGTTTGAGAGAAAGGTGTCTGGGCATTTACTTCTCCCCATTCAGTGTCAGTTTTTCTAGATCAAAGCTGGCAGTAAAGAAACAGTACTGATCATTTCAGATRGCCCAACCTAGGACACCCTGTAACAGTCTGTCCTCGGTCCCTTAGCACAGATAATCAGTAAATCACATAATCTGATGGCAAATAGTTGGGAGCTGATTCATGAGGATCATTGCAAGCTGAATCTAGCTGCTGTGCTGTTTCTGCATGCTCACAGTATGCCCAGTTCAAAACACATGCATCCTGCAGATCTGACTGACACTTTGGACTGCAGTGAGCTACTAGTTCTTCATAAACTGGGAATAGCACGACTTCAGACAGCACCCTACTGACATATTTTGCCTTCCCTCACCTATTTTATGATTCTGACATCACTGGAAATTTAAAAGCAAGAACAGATTATTCACAAGAAAACATACTAAGTGAAAGGTGTGGGATATTACATCAATTTAAAATTTCCAGCCAAGGTTTTTCTTTGGAAAAAACTATGAACTGGACGTATCATCTCTTTATCTAGAGTGTGTGGGTGCATGAAGCATAAATAGGGAGGGGGGTTGTGTGAGAAATTAGTCATGTTTATTTGTAAGCTTATTTCTCATCTTGTGATATGTGTGTGACACTCAAAGGAGGCTGAGGGGTAATGCCACCTTAAACCTTACCAAACACTTTTGATCACCAAACCACAGTCTCACTTGTACTAATCTGAGTCTCTTTGTGGCCACAGTGGCAGATCCAGTAAAGATTTTTCTCTCTACTTCTTGGAAAAAATTCTAAACCCACAAAAATTTTATCTTCAGTAAATAAATGTAACAGATATGGGTCATCATATGTTCCAACAAAGCTTTTAAACTGTCACAGCTGAGAACAAAAGCTTCCCCTGAGGTTTGGGAATAACCACATTGAAAAAAGAAAAAAATAATGGAACAYAGCAGAAAACACTTATTAACCCAGAAGAACAGCCTAAGTCATTATTCTTAGTTTTCAATCTCTTTCATACATTTGTATCATTCTGTGAATGCCATGCCTGATTTCATACTGACTGGGTAGTACAGCTCCCTTCCAGTTCAGGTCAGCCCCTTTGATCAACTTGTTAATTTTTTAATACAATAACTAGTGTATTTTTTCTATGTTGTCCCATAGTTAGAGTTCCCAACCGTGYGATTCTTCTTCAGAACAATCTTTAAAACTGCCAATGAACTGCCAATTAAAAAAATWGTCAACAATTGCACTGTTGACATGATCAGCCCAGTAAGTATAGTGCTGACTAATGATGACTCATTGTGTCATGTCCTCCCCATCTGTATCTGTCTATAGTCATCTTTATTAGAGTTAAATCTCATATTACTTCAGGCAAACCCAACTTTTTATTTTGTTTTTATAACTCTGAATATAATAGGATTCCAAAYCATGAGCTATGCTCCTAGAAAAACATATAATAATAGTAATTCAAGTAAATAGGCGACGTTTATGTGATAATGATGGCAACAATGATAGGAATTCACATTTGAGGAAGGAAACTAACCACTTATTTCTCTAGCTACTAATATTTTCCTCACTCCTACTCTACCCCCTGCACCAGCATCCTGAAAATAGTATAGCAACAATTGTCACAGTGTAATTTCACAGGCACCAAAAATGCAGGAGTAATTACAAAGATTGGCAGRAACAGGAAATAATCTATCACACAGTTTTCAAATAAATTAGCAAGCAGTTGGTTTTTCAAGAGTGTTAGGTGCTAAATACTTTAAGTATCTTGACACYTTATTTAGGAATCTGATGTGAATGAGATTTTCTAAAAATTATCACCAAAGGCAAAATTTGTCTTCACTGACTGAGTTAGAACTTACTGCAAGGAGGCATTTCAGTTATTTGCATGTAAGTGTATACAATTTTGGGAATAACCTCATAGTAGCTTTTCAAGGACACTTCTGTATGGTTAAGTGATCTTTAATACTTACAATTCCATGCTTCTGCAGCAGGTCAATATCCTGAAAAAAGGATTCCTAAACAAAATAGCAAAAATAAAAAAGTTGACTTTTCTTGTTATTACATCTATCTCACCAAGTGACCATTTCAGATGTGTAAACATTTACTGATTTTTCACAAATAATACATAACTTGTTGGACAGCTGAAATAAGCAAAGCCATAGTGAGCCAAGAAGGCCTACACATTTCTTATCATCTTCTCCATGAAGTGTATCTTCCCAGGCAATTAATTCTCTGCTGTGATAATAAAACTTGTGTTATGATCATCATAATCTGGAGCTTTTCTGCCATAGTTTCTTAGTCTCTTCATGCTGATGACCATTCTTTGGAGGCAGAAAATTAACCTACAGACCTCTTGCATTTAATATAGAAGTGTAAAATGTAATGAAATCCTGATAATCCCATTAAAAACTGCATAGCTTTTGAAAGGTTAATGAAAATTACTTGAAGAGCCAGGCTGTACAGGGACTAAGGGAATGAGATTTTCTTGGTAGTAGACTGGAACAAAATTTTAAATGCATTCAACTCCCTGATGGTTTTTGCAGACCTCCTGTCCCTCCACAGATTTCATAATAGTATAAAAATACCTTCAAGTAACATTTTCTGCACATCGTTTTCAATCACTCATACATTTACCTCATCATCCTGGTATCCCGGCTCTTCTTGGACTACTTGATCCTCCATGGCCTTCATGGTGAAAGAGCATGCAATAACGTATTGATCGCTGCTGGGAAATGCAAACAAAGACAGTCTTGGGGAGGCAATAATGAGTAAATGTCTGTGAAAGGACTTTTAAGAAGTCCTTAAACTACATAAACCTGTCAGTATCACATCATATACAGATTTAAATTTGGATTCTGCTTCCAACTCTTCATTATCTGACCTACTAGATCAAAAGGGAAAATCTATGGCTTTACACTCAGATGAACCAGTTTGGCGAGAAAGGGCTTCACAAGTATTAGGAAAAGAGATCTTATTCCCTTGTGAGAATCTCAAGTCAGAGATAGTTTTGGAGGTGGGAACACTTAAAATGAATTATCACAAATGGAATTTATTGTGTTAAGAATGCTAAAGGCAGTCTGTATTTTTATAACAAAAGTCAGCATGGTTGCAGACAGAATGGAAAATGGAAAGGCAGTGCAACAGCTCAGCTTCCCCATCTTTATGTGACAGAAAACGCACAAARCAGTACTGAGAAGGCTACAACTTCTTAGTGGTATCTCTTGAGAGCAGACTAATAAAGTTGTATTTGTTTTGAAGTTCTTGCTGAGGTTCAAAATGACCGATAAATGCTGCAGGTACTGCCTTTAGGGAGTATGCTTGCATGAAGAGAACAAAAGAACAGTAATAAAGATCTGAGGCATTTATAATGCAATAATAAATGCTTTATACAGAGAGCTCGTTTCATATTTTTCATGGTTAACCTGCCATGTCTGTACTTCACCACAAYTTAATTGCCCTCTCTATGTGACTTCCTGTAAGCAAGACCTAGAATGGGAATAGGCACTTAGTGATAGCATCATTAAATAACCAAGTGTAACCTCCTTAAATTTTATGAATGCAAGAATAGTGAATACAAAGCAGTTCCTTAGAAATACGATCTTATAACCAAACTACTGTATCATTTTTGTGTTTTTGTAAATGGGTTAAGGTGCTTTTGTCTTAATTGTCAGCTTACCTTTGCTGTTGTAGCTATGGATGGTCAAAAGTTTTGTATCAAAATGTGTACTTATATTTACTTGCTCATCCTTGTTATCAAAATCCAGAAACTATAAGATGGGCTATATCTAACAGAGGTTGGGATAATTTAGGCAAAATATCTGCAAGAAGTCTTTTTTCAGCTTCTAAATGGATACTAATTTGCTTGCAAGAATCTTATGTACATAGAAGCTGGTAAAGTGAGRAACAAAATACCAGAATTTTAGAATTATCTTACTCTATTTGTATTTCATGGAAATATTCTTATAAAATCAGTTGTTTCTGATTGTGTCAGGATACATTTTATTTCTGTTTCAGAACCCTGTCAATTATGGACTGACAAATCATGCCTTCACATAATTACAGCAAAATAATAATTTAAAAATACTTTGGGGGATTTGAAAAATTGCAAATACTGAAAGAAGAAAAACAAGTAATGTAAAACTATACTACAATCTCCTTCATCAAAAATGTCCTCACAAAAAGAATCCTGCATTTCAACCACCACTGAGCAGGTCATGGGATTGTTCTCCTACTCCCCATCCTCAGGCAATTGGCATCTCAMAGCAGAAAAACAAGGCAGAACCACACCTGTGCCTTCCTGCAAGGTAGAAGGGAAAATGTAGAAAGTATACCTCACCCCACTAAAAGCTTTAGGTACAAACAAAATCCTCCTGCTCAGTGGAAGGTTCTCCTGCTGCTGGTGTGCTGGTGCACCTGAATGACTGGAGTCACCACTGCCTGCAGTGAAGCAGATAAAAGGGTGAAAGGCTGAGACAACAGAGCAAATCCAACCATCTTGAAACACCAACCATCTTGTGCCACGTCAAGTACCCAAGGGTAGGCGAACAAGACCTGGATGCCCCACTCCTGCCAGCCTCCGGGTGCGACAAGGGACCCAGTCCCAACAACTCCCCTTGGGTTTGGGCTGGCAGAAACAGCAGAGCTCGGCTCCCTGGGCCGGGGGCGATCTGACCCGCCCCAGGGGACTCCACGGCGGGATCTCACATCTGTTAACTCAGAGGAAAATAAGTGATTAGTCGTCATCAACACACGGATTTATTTGGCTTTTCCTTGCCAGCTGCCTTCTCATGAGATGCACATTTCTGTTTTCAAASGGAACCGCTTTATTTCCCTCCCCCGCGGAGCACGGTAATTCCCCATCAAAATTAGAATAGGAATTAAATCACCAGCTCATGCCCGGGCAGCTCCGGGGGAGCGGGTGGATGCAATAACCGGCGTGAAGACTCCAAGCTCGCCAGGGCCGCCTGTTCCCCCGTCCTGAGGGCAAGGACAGCCCCTCCCGCTTCCCGCCGGCCGGGAGGGGCGGGGCCGTGGGGGGGCGCCATGAGGGGCGGGGGCGCCATGAGGGGCGGGGGCGCCATGAGGGGCGGGGGCGCCATGAGGGGCGGGGGCGGGGTCCAGGCAAGGCCGGGCACTGCCCCTTCCCTCACCCCCGCCCTGCGCTGAAATACACCTTAATTACCGTCTTCAATCACTTCATCAGCCGTGATTTATAAGCTACTGTATTCGCACTCTGCAAGAATATCCCATTGCCCTTACTCTACAGCTGGAAAAGCAAGCCTTAGTTAAAACCACCTTGGTTTGGAAGGCATTTAGTTCAACGCAGTTTTGCCTTTTGTTTTCCCAAGGTGCCACTCACGCATCGTCCTCAACAAGGCACACACGGCGTTTTTGGATTGGATGGCCAAAACCTGTCAGAGAGCTGGAAGAGAAGTGACTTGCCTGGAATCACAGGACAAGAAAATGAGGCTGAGTCATACACATGACTTAATCTGCCATTTTAAAAGGATGGAAAAGGTGCTTTCTAGGATATGAGCACTTCTACGAGACATCTGCAGTCTTCTTGGAGACAGTATTTGCAAAGCAATCGCCCGTTTTAGCTCACCTCTGGTAGCACAGTTGGTAYGGGACTGCATGTCAAGGAGACATCACATCTCCAGCGAGCAGGAGTTCCTGGCTGCCCCTTGTGTGGGCTTGAAATGGCAGAAGGGATGGGAGCAGTATCTCAGCCTGTTTCTAGGGGCTTGTGAAAAATTCCCCACCCTCTGCCTGTGGGAGGTTAAGGGCACCTTTTCCAAGCCATTTCTTAGCCAAGTCAGGAAACCAAGCAACAAAACCCACAGCCCCATGCCATCATCAGMAGTGCTTGCAGGGTCACCATTCAAAATATCAAGCGATTCATATAAGTACCAAAAATTTAATCCTGGCTTTGCCAATACAGGGGAAGCGCCTGGTACTGCTTTTGAAAACTGCATTTTTCTGTAAGAGCTATTCCAGAAGAGCAGTTAGGCAGACAGCCCTTTAAAGGCGAATTCCTTCACCAAGTTTGCTTTTATTCCAGAACAGAATGCACGTGCAGACCCTTCTGGTGGTATTGAGTAGCTCTGCAGCAGATAATACCTCTCTCAGTAAACAACCTTCCCTTCATTATTCTTTTAGTTGGTAAAACGCTTCTCAGAAAGGTCAATGAATGTGCAGAATCTGAAGATCATTTCCCACTCCAAAGTGCTACTTTGGACAATAAATTACATTCTGCAACTTCAAAACGTTGTGTGATCATTAATTGCTCATTAGGCTTCCACTGGTGTTGCACAATAACCCCGCAGAGCCCATCTCATTACACATTTGCCCACACTGGCCCATCTCTCAGTCTGCTCCTTGCCTTTTACAGGTTCTGGTGCCAGCCAGCACATCTCCAGCTGTGAGTGAGGTGCTGGAATGAGACACACTACTGCGATACACAATTCCTCTCACTTGAGATCTTGCACCAGTTTGGACAAGAAAAGAACCAAGTCAAATTATTACCATAAAATATTAAGTATCCAGGTGATTCTTTTCATCCTCACAAACTTCATCCATGGTGGCAATAGGGAAATCATGAGGGGTTTTGTTGTTGTTGGGCTTTTGTTTTCCATCTCTTTGGTCAGAACTTAGAAAAACTACAAAAGCTCTGTTCATACAATGGGTCTCAGGGTAGGACTGACAAAATATCAGATCAGCCAAGCTTCATTCATTCAGACTGGAGTAACAGGAGAGCGCTATTGTTAAAATGGAGTTACTGGAAGGAATAGAGATGGTACTGGGAGACTGAGTTGTGCCTCTATCGCAGTCTTGAGATCCTTAGGCAAGGCCTTGACAAAAGTACTCAAAACTGCAGTATTGGGAGTGATCCTGCATTAAAAATGACACAGATTTTGCTACCTCTAATTTATTTTGAGTTAATCACTAAGCTTATATTATAGGATTAGATMTCTCTCTTCTGTCTATCAAGATGTCCTATCCAGACCATGGTTCAGCATTGCAGCTATGGAGGAAATGATGTATTAGAGGGCGGTGCCTATTGCTATTAAAGAAGTGCCTGGCCAAGTCAGGAAGACAACAAATTCTATGTGACTGGAAAATAAGATAATAGTAATATCAAAATACCAACTAGAGAATTCAGAAATAGGTATTTTTTCTAAATGAAAAATAAATAATCTGCATGCCAACAATACAAACACAGTAAGTGACAGCAGCCCAAGCACCACAAGATTCGCTATTTTAATAGGTGATTGTGAAATTAGCAATTTTTTATATATATAATTAAGAATGACATAAAATTTTGAAAGAAGGAAACTGGAAAAAAAAGGCAACTTTCAAGCTTTGCAAAATTTAAGCAGTTAGATCACATGTGACATACCGATGCATATCTCCATAAATCCTCTGTCAAAAAGACAAGGAGATAAGAAAAACTGTCCATTTTAAGAATGCACAAGGAACTTTTTATTTAAGATAAAAAACCAAACTGGTAACAGAGAAAAATAGGACTGAAAGGGACATCAAGAGATTATCTAGCTCAAAGCAGAATCAGATGTTCATTTGCCTGGGGAGGCTGTGTATTTTCTTTTATCTTTTGAGAAAAAAACAATTTCAGTGCTTGCCTATCCTTGCCATTACCCTTCTTGTCTACCCTTCACTATGCCATGCAATTTTATCTGTAAAAAATATGCAATATTTGAGCYAACTTCTACTTTAAAAAGTTCAGATAACTGAGACTCTAATGCTTGCATACTTTTTCCTACCCCAAAAGAGAAAAAAAAGACAGCAATAGGCAGTTCTAAACAGCTCTAAAAAATGCCCAAACATGATGGGCACACATGATATTGTGTACAGCTTGTTCTTATCTGCTCATGAYCTTTGGGGCTAAAACTGTAACCATGCAGCCCTGGAACACGGTATTGCCACTCTCAGTAAATTGCCATAAGCTGTGTACTGAATGTGCAAGGCTTTAGGACTGAGACTTGTTAGCTTTGCTTTTCTTGAACTTCTCTTGACCCTTCTGCATCTTTTCCATGGTTAGCTGTGACAGAAGTTTCCACAATTAATTTAACCAGGTCTATGGCTAATTCATTTTACTTCTGTTTATCTGTGTGTGGTAGAGCCATCATTTTTTATAAATAACAGGAACAAACAGTTATTCTGTGTAGAAAAGGAGATTTATAATTAGCACAGTCCAGTGCAGAGAAATGCAGTCCTGGTACAAYAGCAGAAGCCTTGAGAAGTGGGGGCACAAGATTTGCTGAGGAATAGAAGGATGTAAATATTACAGGCGAGGCAGAAGCTTGGCCTGTATAAAGAATTGCTATGAGCAACTCACCAGTGATCAGCCAAAGAAATGCTGACCTGGAGCCAGATTTAGGGGTAACAAAGAGAACAAAAAACAAAACAAAACAAAACAAAACAAAACCACTCATAATAGGCACTACATACCGTAAGATCAGATGTAGCATGGTGCTGCTGGGATGTAGGTGCAGCAGTGTTGGAGGCCTGCCAGGATCACCTTGGCATGCCTTTTCTAGCCCCAGTCTTCTGGAGCTGTAGGCTCTTTGACTCTCTTAATTCCAACCCTAATCTGAACCCTAAACGTAACCACTACCCCTAACTGCTACCCTAACCACTACCATAACCACTACCCTTAACCCCTTTGAGCACATTTCTAACCTATGCTAATAGATGTTTTTAAAACTGTATCTTTTTAAAGCAGCTTTTTAAATTTTAACATTTTTTCCTGCTAGAGTGACTGGTGTTGTGATCTTTTACAGCTTGTCAGCCTCTACACAAAAAAAACTGAATCTCTATTTTAATCGCTATTGAAAAAAATGAAATGCAGTTGGTGAAATATATTACTCTGAATCATGAAATGTATACTTTGGGAAGTGCAGGTCTTTTTTTATACTGTGAGAGCTTTCTAAACAGCTGTTGCAAATTCCAAAATAACTGCTCTTGACTAACTCCACGTACATAGATTTTTGTTCTGGAATAAGTGCACCTTGTTCTACTTCAGCTTAATATTAACTTTGTGATAAACAGAAGTAACAGACTAATTATGAAATAAGACTGCCCACATATGTAGCTAAGTGGGAGTAGTAATTGCAGTTGCATATATCTTTCTTCATTTGAATTACCTCCCAGATCAGATAAAAGCAGGATAAAGAAAGCAGTAATAAAATTTATTTGATGTGAAACTGTTATCAGTCTTCAAATTTGGTGACAATGCCTCTGACAAGCTTATATTTGAATCACAGCTCAGTCACAGACCTGTTTAAAGTCCATGGGTGAATATCTTCATTTCACTAAGTAAACCAGAAGAATTGACTAAACAACCCTCTTCTCACAGATTAAATGGGAAGCCATTCCCCAACAGAATTAAGTACATCACATGGCCAGTCCCTGGCACCAGGGGCCTGATCAGAGTACAGAGCTTGGCCAGGCTACCGCACTGCCCTAACTAATGCCCCATGTTCCAGCTCTCACAGTGAGCCTGAGCTTAGCTTTAACCCAGCAAGGCATTATGATTTGCATTTCTCCTATTCGTATTCCCTCTGGTGCTTCTCTGAACAGCAAAAAAGGAAAGATGGAAGCAGGCAGCTGGGAGATGGGCGGGGGAAGGGGACAACAGGGAAAGACTGCCTCAGCACAGTGTTGGATCAGTTTTGCCATTTGGTGGACTGTCACCATTCCTGTAGACAGAGGGACTTCTCTGGGACTGAATGCAAATATAGGGGGTAGAATTTGTCTGGCAGCAGCTGAACACATTTGTGCATGATAAAAAAATGAGAGAGAAGCAACAAAGATTTGTTGCAGGAAGCTGAGTCAGAAAACTTGATTTAACTGGAAAAACTCATGAGAAATGGAGTTAAAACAAGAAAATGTCTCATGGATGCATCTGCTATGCTGCAGAACACAGGACTCTGTGTGTGTATTCTTCAAGCCAAAAAGATTCTGACTCCTAATGCAAACAAAGTTAAAAGTACTGCAAATACTGTCTTAACTGTTATGGCCAGAAGAGTCACTGCTTTAACTTATTCACATACTAGCACTGAAAACAAATCTGAAAAATGCATGAAGCAAAGCAACTTTATGCACCAAACATAGGACAGCAGCGTTTTCAGCATTACAGCTGAAAAAAAGCATAATTCATTGAATGTTTTTTTCCCCTTTAATGCATTCCAACTCAAAGAAGCTGAGTGCTTCTGTTGTCAAGTAGGGTGAATAATGACTTTGAGTACACTGCTCTCTTGTACTCAGGACAACATTTTCATTGGCATGCTTCACAAAGAAGAATGTATTTAAAGTGCAGCTGATAGAAAATTTTAAATTTCTAGGTCACAGTAGTATTCATTGGTCAATAAAAAAAAAATGACGTATTACAGGAAAAACTGTTTTAACTTCACATTTGGAGGAAATTCTGCACTGGTGTTTGAGACATTTCCTCATTTAAAAAAACCCATCAAACTTTGAAGAACCTCTACATGAAAAACTAGTACATTTAACAGTCTTTCCACATTCCTTACCAGTTTGGAAAAGCTCACYCTCTCAGTTGGTATCAGCTTTTCTTTTAAACCAACCCTGCTGCAGAAGTGAACATGCTCTTCTTTTGGCCAGTTTTCTACTCTTGGCTTTGCCTGCTGCTTCCGCAACTGAGTTTGTAGGTAAACTGCAGATAAAAAGCCCAATCTTGCTCCATTAGCATTTCACATGTTTGCCAGGCTATTGGGCACAAGAGATCGTAAATAGTTTGTTTTTCAAACCCCAGAACTTGGATAGGCATTGAGTGTATTATCATACAGTTATTTTTATCTTAGAATAATGTTTAAAGGTCTCAGGAATTGTAATTGGCCTTAAAATACTGCTTCCTTGATTTTGCTACAATAGTGCCTTTTCAGTAACGGTCCAGCTAAYAATTTTCTTCAATCTTGAACCTTTTAACTTCAGAGATTCATTACCTGATTATTCTTTTCTAATCCATTGCTGTCTTTTCCTTGGATTACCGTGGCTTCTTTACCAGCCTTACTGGAAGTGGGACTCCTTAATAAACATTTCTCTGCCCATATCTGAAAAAAAGCTTTGAATCTCTCCTTCTCATGTTTTTGCTGAATTGATTATAAATTACATATTTGTGTTTCTGAAACTCTGCAGGTGCACAACTCCCACTCAATAACAACTCCCACTGGGGTTCAATATATCCCAGTACTTTCTACTTTCTTTCTTCCTATTTTTTCTGTTCTCCACTGTTGTTCTTACACCAGATTATTAAGGCAGCACTTTCTGTTTTAACAGTCAGGCAATCCAAGACAGAGGAATAGGTCAGAATTTCTGAGACCAGATTTCACGTGTGATCTCTCTTCTTAGGACCATGGGCATCAGACAAGAAGGAAATCACAAGACCCTCAAATATTTGATTTCAAAATTATATTTSATACTGAACTGCAGCCACGAGATGTTCCTAGCTGACCAGCCACTGTTCCCCACTCTCARCTACCACAGTACTGATGCAGCAAAAGCAAATTGGAGATAAGAAGCTGAAGAGAACAGCAACCATCTCTCATCTCGGGCATTGTAAGAAATGACTGAGTGGTCTTGGAGAACTTCTTCTAAAGTAAAAACAGATCAGCAGATCAGCTCAAGAACTTGAACTGTCTGGATGAATGACTTTTCTGGGTGTTGCTTCAGGAGGAATTCAAGTATATTTGACAGGATAAAGGACCTGCTTCCAAAGAAAGGAGTAAGGTCCTCTCACCCATTCTTCTCAGGAAAAYGAAAGAGTTTAAGTGGTGACGAAGGAGGGACCTTACTGGCTCAGGGGAAGAATCTGTGGGAAAAACTGACAAAAAAGCAACACAAAAATGTGCAAAACAATCCCACTTCCACACTGCCTTTACATAAGCAACAGCCCTTAAGATTTTTTTTTTATTGYAGGGCATATGTGGGTGCCAACAGATCAGCTATGTCAGCAGGAGAGAGAAAAATTAACTCAATCTATGACATCATGTCCTATCCTTCTCTAAACACTGCGTCACATGTCTAGGATATGGTACTATTTTTAGTCTTCTAGTTTCAAACATATGTTAAGACTGCTTCCAAATGCTTTCCTTTTTATCCTTTCCAAGCTTTGCATCTTGGGTATGGAGGTCTGAAATATTAAATATCAGCAGTCTGGCTTCCTTGTGCCTAGCACATGTCAGTGAATCCAAAACCTAAGGAAGCTATTTGCACTAATTAGGCACACAAAAGGACAACACACACACAAGCAGCTTTTATGGGTTCCAGCTGTCTGGGATTGACAAACACATGCACATCTGTGTATACATACCCTCTTGATTCACATATGGAGAGCACRTATTATAGCCTAGCAAAGGCCTTCACAACAACAAACCTGAAAATTCTTAGTAAAAGAAATTGCATTTAACCTGTCCTTCCCCATTATACAACTGGAAGAATCACTGGCTTAYATTTTACTTGTTTGGACTTAGAAGATTTGCTTGATTGATGAGGCTGGTACTTGCTAGAAGCTTGTCCGTGTCTCAACTCCTTCATGAGAAATGAAAGACAGAAAAAATGTCAGTGATTTATCATATTGCTAGGATTAAGGCCTTAATTCTCATGCATTCCCTTTAAAAAGTCTGTCCCATCGCCAAGTGAAACATTGCTGTCTCTAGGGGAAAATCCAGCAGCACTAGTGCTAGCAGCACCACATTGCAGTCATGGGAAAAGGAATAAAAGCATSCTCTCCTGTTGAAATGGCAGGAGAAAATTCAGGGTCATAGAAGGTAATCGTAGGCTTGGAAAATAGCTCTGACACCAGGGTAATGTCCTTAACTAGTAAAAAGCAACTGATGGAATTATTCCATAAAGCTCACAGCCAAGTCAGCTGTCTCCAACAGAAACGAGTTTGGAATATTTCTTCCCTCAAGATTTATTGACTCCACAAACTGCTTTAACAAAATTAACAAATCACAACACACTTATGTGTTTCAGTATGCCAATCTGGATAAAAAATAACATGAACATCACATGGCTACTGTATTTTTCTAAGACAGTTTTATAAGCAAACCAATCTCTCCCAAATTTCACTCCTTGCATAATTCCTCAGTGAAATATGTTTCCCCCATGCCATTCCACGGTGACAAAGCAGCACTGGTTAAAGGGCTTTTTCTAGCATTGTAATGRCAAGACCCTGCCTGTGGCAGGAGGAATGTGGCTGGCAGTATGGCAGTATCACTGTGATGATACTTAAACATAAGCAAAACCAGGGATTCCAAAAAGTAAAAAGTGACCTGGATCCCATCAGCATTGCTCTAATAGTGACCATTTAAAGAAAAAAATAAAGCAAACTCAATTCAGTTTGATCAAGAGAAGCCRAAGATTTTGCTTCCACTTGTTGACAGATGCGTGATAGCACAAACTTTCATTACAAAGATATGTAGAAAGCAGCAAGTTGAAAACTGAGTAAACTTGTGTTATGCTGAGAGAAGTCACCGGCAGCATGAGGAAATATTAAAGAAAATGTTTGGTATACCTAATTTCAGACTTTAGGGAGAAAAATTTGCTCTCCTGACAGCTTGTGTTCAAGGGCTCTAGATTTTAACAGAACAGACTTGTGACTGACCACCTATTTCTTCTCCTCACTTTACCTCCCCACCCTGATWCAATGTACAATACAGGAAAAATCATAAAGTGTATAACAACATAGGCATTGTTCTCAACTTAAGAGCAATATAATTCAGTTTATTTCCAAAGCATATGTAGAGAAATAAATGTTTGACCCTATAAACACTGACTTTGAATATCCTCACAGGCCTCTGTATCTGGTTCAGTATTCCCAGCCTCTGATTCAATGCAGCTTCTGTGCACAATTACCACTATCATTCCTTCCACTGTTCATGCTTTCTTCCATGTTACTTTGTCCAACTATCCTTTTCTTACTTTTTTTTTTCCTCCTCCCTTACTCTCTTTGCTGTCTGTGCTTAGACCCTTTCCCTTCTTTGTACGACAAAGAAGTATTTTTTCCTTTTCCCTAAAGCACTAAAAAGAAACCAGGACCGAAATTCCCATGGCTTTCTTTTGGCTTTTCTTTCTACATTTCAAAGTAATTTGCTACTCTCTACCCACTACAGTGGTCATGCTGTTGCATTACAGTTCATCATCCAGGTCATTCACATCTCAAGATATCAAACCAGGAATTAAATCAGGCTCATAATTAAACAGTAAAAGATTAAGTRGTGGGCATCTGCAGTTCCTTCTGACTGCAAAATAAATGCTTATTATGGAGCATTTTGGAGAGCTCAATACTTATCTASGTGACTAAACATCAAATTAGGACATTTGTTTTGATACTACAAACCCCATTCTTTCCTGGCAGATTATCTTTATTTGCAGCCCACAGCMCATTGGCTCACCTGTCTCGGTTTCGATTACAAGCTTTCCCGTGTTCTACAAAAGGCTTGACATCCTGACATGATCCCTGACAACACGTTATCACTGCCAGTTGTTTAATCTTGGAACTGAAGTAGCATATTGCTTCAACTGTACATGAATGAATGAATTGTGAAAACAGCCTGTCTGCTGACCCATGAAAACAATCTCCTTTTCTTTCAGACTGACAAGATTTAAACCTTCAGAGACTCAGATTTTCATTTGTTTTTGTTTCCAAAATGAATCAAATTACACAGATGTGTGAGCCGGGAACCAGTTTCTAAATATGACATGCCTTCCCTCCCATTAAAAAGATGAGATTCTTCACAATATTTAAGCAGTTGGTGTATAAGTCCAAGTTAAGTATCATTTCCCCTGTATGACATTCTTCCCTTACTTTTTTTCTGAAGGAAATGTCCACTGCATCTTGGATCTTGGCTGGTGAGTACAATATAAGCAGTGAGTATTGGCTGGGGAATGATGACCTGCAATAAACAAGAATTCCTCAACAGCAGAGGAAGTGCAAAAGGTGCTTGTGGGGCATGTGTTTGAATTTAGCATGATAGAACATCTGCYGAGGACTTCATGTCTTTCTAAATGGTTAAGGAACAACCCCTCTGTTATGTCATGTGACAAACTGATTTAAAAACTATTAGCTATGCTCTGACTTTTGGACATAATGGAGTGTCTGTCACAGGTGGTATCCCTTCATTAAATGGCCAAGTGATAGCCAGGAAAAGATCATGCCTTTGTCTTCTGGATGGATCTTAGTAACACAAGTAAAATGATAAGGTGTAGTAAAGCACAGGTTATATTTGTCGTTCCTCATGTGTGCCCTCTATCACCCAAGGAATATGCCTTCACCTACTTTGTCTCTGCCTTCTCCCTTTTAGTTACTTACTTATTCACAAACTCCTAATTTTCTTTCACTTTTCACAGCTGGCTTTTATCATCTCCTAAAAATTCTAAATATCTGCACTAACACTGTCTGATCATTCTGTTTTGCTGACCAGAACTTTAAAGAAATGGCAAAGGAAAAATTTTTTCATTTTTTACCAAATCACATACTTCTTCCCTACTAGCTTTTTAAAGATGCAGTTGTTACTTTGGCTGAAATGTAGACTTTGCTATTCAAAAGAACAATGTGTACATGATCTCTTAACTAAAAAGTATGTAGAGTTGTCATTTTTTTCCCTTAAACCCTATTTTTTTTCTCTTCACTGCTGAGTCAAGCCCTGTATATCYCCTTCTTTGCTTGTTTCCCACGACCATGTGTCGGGACTGATGAGTCCAAGACACAGCTTTGTGATGCAATTTCAGAATGGATGATAAGYGAGAATAATTTTGCTTCTGTCAGGACCTGCAGCTCCTGAAAGCAATAAGGTTGCAAACTGAGTTACCCATTATCTTTCAAATTCAGTTCCTGCCCTCCTTCCCTGAATTCACACGTACATACTACATACTTATATTTGTTTACTTGGGCCTCTCTTACATGTACTAATGTGGAAAACATGTATCCTCTGCTCTAAGAAGCAAAAAAAGTATAAATGAAGCTATGATGTATGCAAAATTCCCAAGCCTCTGAGGAGGTTTTCCAGTTGTTACTCATTGTTTTGGCCACATTGTTCACTTGAAAGAGTTYACACAAATATGCAGGCAGTTGAGACTTTCACATGCTCTGGAAGGAATCCATTGCTTCCTGAGAGTTTGCCACAAGGCTGTCCTTGATGACCGAAGATCAAAGGTTCAGAGAACATGTGCAGCCCATATAGCAGTGAAAGCTTGTGTTAAGCTCTGTTTCACTCTGTTCCTATTACCTGGTTGTTCTGTGCTTACTTCCATGCCTTTCATTCTTTTCTTTGTCTCTTGCTTTCATGGTCATCTGTTTCCATGGCTCACTTAAGAGGTCCTTTCCAGGAAATTACGAAATATTAAGCCTCCAGTTTGTAGGTCACTGATAAGCCAATGCAGGGAAAGGGAATGCCAGGGAAAGGGTCTCAAGCATCTCTTGGTATGGGTTGGTGTTTTGTGCTCTGTCATTAACACTTCACCCCTGGCAGCTGCTGGAGACAACATRTTCAGCCTTTGGATTGTGCTGCTGTGCTGCTTATAAGGGAGAGCAAACAGGGTCTGCATTCCAAAGCCTCTTCTAAGCTGATTTTGTCTCAGGCCTCAGATGAATATCAACTGTGCTTTGCATGTACAAACAAGTGCACTTGTATACTCATGAACTGTATCATGAGATACTGTGAAGCTTAGTGTGTATAGCATGCTATGAAGATGGGAGAGAAGTGCTAAGTGTTCTTTCTTCTTCCATGTTCTTTCACCATTCCTTCTATACTTTCACTTAGGCTCACTGTATGGTGTCAAATGTGTCCAGCAGCAGTTAAGCAGGATCTTCACTGGTTCAAGAGGAAAAACAAACTCTGAAAATATAAACTTTGAATTTGCATTAAATAGCCAAGCAAACTGAGTCTCAATGGATGGCACTCTCTCTGCATAAACTTAAAATGTAAACTAAGTCTTGGATTCTAAACTTAGGAACTGTGTTTTCATTYTGCTTCCCATCCCTAGATTCCTTCAAGATGACAAGCAGTTCAGAGAAGACTGGTAAGAATGCAGGATAAAAATATATCCACAAATATGTGTGGCCAGCAAGTGGATGTGTCACCGATCAGGCTTTCATTAGAAGTATTCCTTGCTCTTAAGGAAACKTTCCTTGTCTGACCATCCAAAAAGCACTGTGTCAGTCACACTGGCACTGGAGCCCTTTCTCACTCGGTGGTTCCAGTGACCCAGCAAGTGCTTCACTTGACTCCCTACACACCCCACACTCAGTCAGACCTCAGCTTTCCTTACTGGCTCTATCTGGAGTTTCTCTAAGCAGAGTCTCAGAYGTCTGTATCCTTAAAATAATTTAATCTCAGTGCAACAAAAAAAMCCAAAACATCTCAAGCTGGGTGCCTCTGAGGGATCCCAAAGAAAGCTCTGGGATTTCATACTCACGCAGTCTGTGCTTGTGAAAGTCCTGGCTCTTCCAGCTGAGTCCTTGGCTCCTRCTGTGTGTCTGTCTGGTCACCTGGCTGTATCACAGGTCCTGTACCCTCTTGTACAAAGGGCTGGTATCAGTTCCTGGCCTGTAGCCTGGGGCTCTCACCACCCAAAGCTCAACCTGGAACTGACACTGCAGCTGCACACTGAGCTRCCTGCCCTGAATGTGTTCTTCAACACTCTTCAGCTTGTTACTATAACTGATAAGTTTATCTGTTTGGGTTTGTTGGATTTTTTGTTTGTTTGGTTTTTTTTTTAGGATGCCTGCAATGATTAATCAATAGATGCCTGCACAGTACTCTGAAAATCCCTGTTTATAGGACAAATATTAATTTCCGATTGCTCTTGTGCAGATGAGTTTCTCCACCTCTCTTCCCTCTCCTTTTGTTTCCTTTGCCTAGCTATAAGCACTGGAATGAGGGCCTCCTGGTGGTGGAATTTGTGACAGTCAAGCGGGAGGAAAGCATGTCTTTACAAAGMAGTGAAACGGCTGTTCTTTCATCTCTTGAGTTAGCTATGATGAAATAAAGAAACAGAGGGAGAAAATGAAGTGYCTGCTTTGTCAATAAAATATAGGTGAAGTATTTAATATCCAGGATTTTAGAAGAATGGACATCATCAACTGCACAGCACTGAGGCAACAGGAATTACCTCACTGCTGAAAAATTTAATTGGGCAGGGAATTAAATTCAATATGCCAAAATAGTTTTCTTTCATAGGTTTTAAACTCAGTCTCATTTAGTCCACCAGGCAATGTAGCAAGTTTAAAGCAACAATAACTAAAATGACTATTCTTCTGATGTCAAAGTAAGTAGAGTAAGTCTACTGAATTCACCAGTCAGTGGGGTTTCCCTGTAATTATTGATATAACAGAGAACAATAATAATCCCGAAGCATATATGAAAAAAGGCAAGAGAAACACTGTGGAGTTAAAAGCAGCTCTGAGAACATCTAAGCTATAGATTCTCTATCACTTGTGAACCAAAAAAGCTGAAGAAGATGCTCCAAATTAGGCTACCAAGAACAGTTTGGRTCTATTCCAAAATTTCCACACTGCCATGTGGTACAACCCTACAGCCCGACAGCCCTGTCAATCTCTCAGCCTTCCACCAGTGTTCCCAAAGATGTCTCCTGGGATCACAGGCAGCTTCCTAACACAGTGAYTGTAACATACAGGCTCTTCACCATCTAATGGGCCTTGGTAGTTCCTAAGCGATCTCTGTAGGTATTGTCCTTGGAGAAAGAGTATGTGTGTGTGTGTACTAGGTGTTCTTTTCCCCACAGAGTGACAGGCACAGAAGGATGCACAGTWCTACACCATACTGCTTTTAACACAGCTGAAAATCATATGTCAAACTATATATACATCTATATATATATGTATATATTTTCAATATACTGAGAGACAATGCTACAAACAGCAACACTCAGTACTTGTCTCAATATCTACCTGATGTGGGTAGAGAAACAATGATGAAAAGCTGCTGCAAGGAGGCTGGTGCAGCGAGGAAATTCCACAGCATTTTTCAAGGAAATGGAGTCTGTCAAGATATGAAATTTAGTCAAACCATACAGAAGAAGAAAGACTTCTGAAGCAAACTACAGCAGAAATCAAACACTGAACCTCCTTCTCTTTAGTCTCCAGGAGAAACTTTCTGAACTGYTGTTGACAAGTCCTACCAACTATGAGACCATTCACACAGGTATTACCCACTGTGGGCACAGCAAATGGGCACAGAACGAACCATTTACATCACATGCCAAGGTAGTGGGGCTGGGCTGCCTGGCTTTTTCCAAGTCTCTGCTCCACAGAGACAGTCAAAGAATCACTCTGAGACCCTGGATGCATGAGACAGTTTAGCTCTACAATAATTACAATGTATGACAATACTCACCCTCCTCAGAGCAAGGAGAACTCAAACAACAACCACGCTGAAGCATACCAGGTTTCTTCTAGGAAGGTGAACATTACTGAAAAAAAGACCAACCAAAGTGACTGTTAAGAGCTCAGTCCCTCACTACCCTGTATAGTCTTTGGATCTTTTAAGCACCCAGGTGAGCTGCCTTTATTTTTTCATTTCAAAATGGTAATTCTACATTCTCTCAGCTTTTCTTCCAAAGTTCTCATCCTTATTTATCTGAACCTTCCTTTCATCGTTCTAATCCAATATATGGACACACATAATAGTATTAAATCAAGATAGTATTAATCTAATATATGGACACACAAAATAGTATTAAATCAAGAAGTCACAACTACTTCACAAAGACTTTGCTCTTAACAGTGAGTATTTATTCTACTTTTAAGGGTGTTGACTTCCCCCTGCACCCCCCCCCCCCYCCCCCCAATCATAATCACTGCTTTCCAGATTCTGGTACACTGGGTCAGAAGACAACTGTTTTTATAGCATGTGTCCTGCAAGAACCAGATATTGGTTAGCTGGACTACCAAAAGATAATGCAGGACCAGAGATTTTTCTTGTCTCAAGTCAGTATGTTTAACTGTGCTGTTTTTCCAGTTCTCATTCCAAGTGAGCATTTCTGGTTCACTTAAGGCAGGGTGCCAATTAAGCACGCTGAGAATGAAAGACTGTTAAATAATTTTTTTCCTGGGGTATTAATATATGTACACACCCAGTTAAAACATTGGTGACTCTCTTATTTTCTCCTCCTTTTATCTGCCTGCCCCCCTATTTTTTTTTCTTCTTGTCTTTATTGTTCCCTTTTAACTATAGTCTGCATCTTAGTATCTCATTAATTCAACATTTTCAGGAAAGTCTCAGGAAGTCCTCAACATAAGCTTTTTTAACAATGAAGCAAGTAATTTCAGATCATTATTCTAACATATTCTAAGAATTATTTCATAATTTAGGAGTGACATTTTGTCTCTGTAACATAAAAAGTACTGGTAATATGTGTTACATACCCATGCCGTTAATTCAAAATGCTATCCAAACCAACTGCCAATGCCACCTCCCGTGGAGTACAAGCCAGCAAATAACACAATGAATCTAAATTTATTCCATCGTGTGCTGAAAGGGGGGACTTTGCCATCAGCGCAGGAAATCAGGATGCTGGGTCTGCTTCAAAGGAAGGTGTGTGAGGAGCTGCTCCTGTGGAGTCACTGTCCCTGGAGGTGTTTGAGGAAAGACTGGACATGATATTTAGTGACATCGTCGTGTCCACATGGTGGTGTTCAGTAAGACTGGACTCGACAATCTCAGGGATCTTTTCCAACCTGATTGACTCTGTGACTCTATACGATTCTTCTCTCTCCAGCTCCTCAATCACCATCCCTTGAACCTGTGCAGTCCAGGACCCCAAACCTCCTCCACCTCTCCCATGTTCCCAAGCAAGGAAGGGTTCTCTGCCTAACGGCGTTTTGTTATTTATCTGAAAAATAAACAAACAGCCCCACCAAAAACTATTTTAAAACTCTTCAAAGCGATTCCAGCATTTCAGGGAAGACGTTAAGAAAAACGCAGTCAGCATGCCACAAGTTTGACGCAGCCCCACMGTGAGCACAGGCCGACCCCAACGCCGCCGCCCGGGCCACTCCGCCCACGTCTACCCTCCAGCACAGGAGGCGGAGCGGAGCCATGGATCCCATCGCCACGGCAACGGGGTGCCACGGCAATGCGGTGGCCGCAAACCGCTCCCGGGACACGCGGCGGATCCCACCGGCGGCGGACGGGGAGCGCCGGGAGCAGGCGTGGCTCGACGGAGAGGTACGCCCCCCATAATTAAGGCGAAGCTCGATGGAACAGCCCGGCCCAACCGCCCCCGCACCGCGGGGCTGACCCTACCACTGCGGTGCGGGGGGGTGTGGGGTGTGGAGTGTTCTTCGTCGGCTGTGCCCTTGCCGAGCCCGCTGCTTTAGCCAGTGAGATGCCGGGAGGGTAAACAGAACAAAGGAGCATCCCGGTGGTGATCTGTGAGGGGAATAGCACCCCGCGGTGCTTCCCTTCCAGCTCCTCGGCGTGGCTYTAGGGTGGTACGGCCCGTGCCCCCTCCGAGGTGCCGAGCCGCGTGGCGCTGGGGGTACTGGCCGAGGGCGGGGAGGGCGGGAGAGGGGGTGAGCAGGACAAGGCTGGGGGGGTCGCTGGGGGTGTGTGTGACAGTCGCACCGTCTGTCCTCTGTACCCCATCCCGGTTCGGCCACGTGGCGGTGGAGGTGCGAGGGATGTGCCCCTGGAGGTGGCCACGATCCCCCCAAATCGTCATCTTGGCCTGAGAGCCAGGGGGCTCTGCCTGGGGAGAACGGCTGCCTTGTCACATCACTGCTCTCGGCCCACAGCCTCAGACTGGTTGTGTCCCTCCTGCACCTTCAGGAGCCAGCCGTAGGCCTGGCAGCAGCGTGTGATGCCTCTCTTTGGGAACTCCTTCAGCCCGAAGAAGACGCCCCCCAGGAAATGGGCCTCATTGTCCAACCTGCACCTGGTGAGTCCCAGCGCCTGTGCTTTGCAGGAGGTGTGCTTCCTTAGTGGCTGAGGTGGGTGGCTCCTGCTGTGGGTGCCATAAGATCTCCCAGCTGCTTCTGGGGCAGGAACAGGTTCTTCCTCCAGAGGCTCGTCGCGCTCTGAAACAGACTTCCCAGAGAAGTGAAGTGGTCACAGCACCAAGCCTGACAGGGTTAAAGAAGTAYTTGGACAATWCTCTCAGGCACGTGGTGTAGCTCGGGGGGGAGGCGGGGGGGTTGCTTTGCTGGGCCAGAAGTTGAACTCRGTGATCCTTGTGGGTTCTTTCTAAATCAGTATATTCTRTGATTCCAACTGTGCTGCTTTCTTCCTCTGGCGCAGCACTATTCCTGATCCCTGGTAAATGTACATGAAGCTAGAAATGGAATAGCTTCATGTATATGAAATGGAATGGGGAAGAATCATCATCACCCCACCTGCAGTCCAAAACTGTGTGACTGAAAACTTCTCCCCAGTGGTCTCCAAGTGCAGGGAAATAAGTGTGTATGTGGGCAGGAGAAAGCGCAATGATGGTAGTGAGAGGAGGCAGTTCTCTACTGCAGCCGTACATGACCAAAGTAAGATTCCAGGCTTGGGGGCCATTCGGACCACCATATTCCATTGGAATGCTAGTCACTAAGAAATGGGAGAGCAAGGGGTGGTTTYGGAATTCTGTGAAATGCTGAGTGTGATCTTCTCTCTGCAGCTGGATAGATCCACCCGTGAGGTTGAGCTGGGCCTGGAATATGGCACCCCCTCAATGAACCTTGCTGGCCAGAGCCTGAAGTTTGAAAATGGCCAGTGGGTGTCAGGTACTGAGTGCAGCTGAGCTTGCTCTGATCTGAAGTAGCCACGGTTAGCTGACAATGTGTTTTGACCTCTTTCTTTCCTCCAAGAATCAGGAAGCTTCCTGGGGGATCGCAGGGAAYTGCAGCGCTTGCGCAAACGAAACCAGCAGCTAGAGGAAGAAAATAACCTCCTACGGCTAAAAGTGGATATTCTGCTGGATATGGTGAGCCAACTCCTGCCTGCCCATAGTAGTGGGGGTGCCTAAACAAAGTGTGCTGGTTCCCCTGAGGAAGGCTGCTCTCACTGCACCCCACTTTCTGCTTTACCCTGCCATGCAACACAGATGTAATGGCAAAGTGATTGCGGGAGTAAAGCYTGATCTCCTTGAGAAGAGGGGAAGGTTGCCCCCACATCAGAGCTTATTGTGAACACTGTGACTGAGGAGARGGAAGTCCCTTCAAGTTTCATGTCTCCTCTTCCCATTTCTGCACAGAATATAGCATTTTTCTTGCCACTCTGGCCTCAGCCCTAACTATGAAACTGAGTTACAGCCACCCTTTCTGGTCATAGAAGATTAAAGCTTCAATATACTGTCATGAGGGGTGTGACATCAGTGCGTAAACCTGTGGATGAAAGAATTTCCAGTAAATAAACCGAAATTCAATGTTACTCAGAGATCACAGCTTTCATGCTTAAAATCTGGAAAGCCATTCAGTGAAATAGAACACACGTGTGTTGTGTGTTAGCCTTTATGTCAGTCTGAACAAACATTTTCTTTYGTTATTCTTCACATGTTTTAAAACTGGAAAGTGTCTTTTGTGGCTGGAACACTTAGCAGAAGCCCTAACTGCTCTCCAGGTTTTCCAGGTGATCTCAGTGAAGTGTGACATGGCAGCTTTCCCTTGCTCAATGTGAACAGATTCCCTCCCGCAGGTCCTGGCTTGTGCCTGTAAATCTCAGTTGTGCAGTGAAGTTGGAAAAGCCTCACGAGCTTTCAACTCACTCTTGTTTTTTGCTGTGTATTCCAGCTCTCTGAAACCACTGCCGAGTCCCACCTGATGGAGAAGGAGCTGGAGGAGCTGAAGCAGCGCTGCCGGAGGAAGAAGTGAAGAAGAGGTGGCCGGGTTGGTTCTGGGTCTTGGCCCATGGGATGCTTGGGCTGGTTTGAGCCTCCCAGCCATGTTGGTACTGTGTGGAGGTACTTTGTTTCACGGGACCATGAGTGCCGAGTTGCCTCCAGCGTTGTGTGGTGCCGTGGGTACTGCTAATGGCTGGTTTGGCACCACAGCGCTGTTAATTAACACAGTTTTCCTCAGAGCACTTTACCTTGCTACGTTTCCTCACCGCAGCCCAGCATAGGTACCCTCTTCTCTAAGGCAGCAGGACAACGGGCAGTAGAGAAGATCTGTCTTTATGACGGCTCCTCCTTGTCTTCTCTGCTTACAAAAGTGGGGAGACTTCTGCCTGCTCCCTCTGAGGAGCCCGCGCTGGCTTATACAAGCCTCACCGTCTGCCTTGGGCGAGCAGGATGTTGGAGTTGCTCGTTCTCGAGGGTTTTGCATATTTTACATTAAAAGCCTCGTAATTAAAACCCGTTCTGAGGGTGTTTGTAACGCGTCGCGCTGCGCTGCGGGGGCCGGGGCATGGGGCCGGGACGGTGCGGGGCGGGGCCGGTGCTCCTCCGGGCCGCCAAGGGCCGCTGCCTCGCCCGGGCTGGGTGGCGGGAGGGCCGCCCCGCTTCCGGCGGCGCTCTAGCCGCTGCTGCTTCCGTCCTGTCTGGTGGCGATGGCGGCCGCGGCGTCCCTGTCCCCGGAGGAGCTGCTGCCCAAGGGCGGCGCGGGCAAGGCTGAGGASCTGGAGGACGAGCTCGAGGAGGAGGAGGAGGATGACGAGGAGGTATCGGGGCGGGCGGCGGGGAAGGCCAGGCGGGCGCGGTGACCCCGCGGGGCGCGCAGGGCCGTGCGGCGGGGCCTGACACGGTGGTGCCGTCCGCAGCTGGACGAGACGCTGGCGGAGCGGCTGTGGGGGCTCACGGAGATGTTCCCCGAGAGCGTCCGATCGGCGGCCGGGGCTACGTTCGACCTGTCGCTGACGGTAGCGCAGAAGATGTACAGGTGAGGGGGCGGCGGGCCGGGCGGGAGCCCTTCGGAGCGGGCCCGGCGGACAGAGCGGGGACGCGGGGCGGCTCCTCTGGCTTTCGCGGTGGCTTTGGCCTCTGGTTTCGCAGTGCAAGGCCTGCGTGAAGCGGCAGATCCACGTTTTTTGGGCAGCGTGGGGAGGGTGGGAATAAGGGGACAGCCTGAGTTCGGGGTTGGATTTGGGGGAAGGCTTATGGTTGAGGCACGGAAGGGAGGCATGGAATTGTGCCACTAAAAAGCAGATAAGGAACTGATTCTTAATGCTCTTTCTCCTTGATAGATTCTCTAGGGCAGCTCTGTGGATTGGGACCACCTCCTTCATGATTCTGGTTCTTCCTGTTGTCTTTGAAACCGAAAAACTGCAGATGGAGCAACAGCAGCAGCTGCAGCAGCGACAGGTGGGGAAGGGTGCAGTCTGTTGGATGCTGTGGCCTCACTCATGGCACCGGATTCTCTGGCTAGATGTTCTAATGGGACAATCCTGCCGATTCCCAGTGTTAGGCTGGTAGCAATCCCTGGCAAGCACAACCTGGCTTTCTCCAGCCAAAATACGCTGTGAGGGGCTGAAATCAGGGCTGTGGTCTGACACTGACCTTGGCTGTTGCAGGAGGGGAGGGACTGGTGCTACAAAGTGCCACCAGTATCTGTGGGAGGGGGGAAAAGTATGGGAAGCCATCCAGTGTCCTTGAAACCCCTCAGCCAATTTTTTTCTTTCCAGATCCTCCTCGGACCCAATACGGGGCTCTCAGGGGGAATGCCAGGGGCCCTGCCTCCACTGTCTGGAAAAATCTAATCTGCAGAAGCTGAGTTGGATTCATATCAAGTGGGAAGACCTTGCGATTATGATATACTGAACTGTTGATTTGTTGGGTCAGGGCATTTTTTTCTTTTTATTTTTGGTTCTCCTTTGGGACATTGACCTGTTCATAACGAGGGAGGGAAGCCCCCCTCTGGACCTGATGATGGCTGTCTGCATCCCCCTCTCCTTTAGAAATGATGAGTATTTCCTTTTATTCAATCACTATGCCATAACCAGTTACTGACGTGGACTGGGGGAGCTCCTCTGCCACCTTCCTTGACCCCACAAAACACCCCGGGGCACAGGGTGAAAAGCAGCAGTCAGACAGAACAAATGCTTTCCTGCCTGATTTGGAGCTGAAGGACAGTGGTGGCAGGAAGTGTGACTTTCCCAGCAGAGGAAGGAGGGGTGCCAGTGGCAATCAATACCCCATGGAGAATACTCTCTGGAAAGATGTGTCTGCAGAAAMACTTCCACTGCAGCTGTGTGTGTGTGAGAACCAAGGGAGCAGCAGGACAGGTTTGAGACGATCACATCYACACAGATTCTCTGCCTCATAAAGTAGAACAGACATCAGCTTAGTATTTTTTTGTATGGAATATTAAATAAATCCAACCTGAGCAGTGTGGTTTTAATAGATGTCCTTGAGGGAGGCTCAGTCCTTTCAGAGCTGTTGGGGGATTTCTGGGTAGGGATCTCTCAATTTCATATGCAGTCTGGCAATGGGGAAAGGACTGACATGGCTTGGTCACCTTCAGAGGGGTGGGGAGGCCTGGCACAGCTTATGGGAATTCTCAGGGAGGTGATCCTACCTCAGCACCAGTGTCTGCCTTTCAAGGTTCTTAACTCAAAGGTGGTGGTTTTATAACCAAAGAAAAAAAATTTATTTATCCTTTACATACTTTGTTACAGAACAATTCATTGGAACATACAGAAGTGATAGGACATTTATATGGAAACTTTTTTTTCCATTTTTAATATTTGGTTAAACAAAATACATCTCTGTAAACAAACCCAAGACAAGGCTCTAACAAAACCAAACAAGCAAGAACAAAGAGGGGCTTCCCCACTCCTGAGCAGTGGGACTGGACCAGCTCACCCACCCTCGGGCACAGCAGCCTCACCTCCCACAGGGATGTGATCATACTTTCCCTTTACCTGAGCAGCTGTATCACACTGTTTCTCCCCAGGGAAAGCAGCTGACATAGAAGAAGAGGAAAGCAGCCCCAAAGTATTTTAAAACATCTTTGCATATTGTGCACTGATCCATTGGCTTGCAGTTTCCATGCAAACAGGGTTTTTCTCCAAAGTGCAACTTCAATCAGCATAGAAAATGTTGCYGTTGAGATCTGTATTTTCCCCTCTTGAAGAAATGGCTTCAAGTCAGGAGCAGAATGCCTGCAGGCTGAACATCCTGCCTGGAAAGTGTTTAAAAACTCTGCCAGCTGGTATTGGTCACTGGAATGTGTTACGAAATAGGACTTTTTAAAATGTAGGAGCCTTTGCCCTTGACTGTGGGAGGCTGTGCTCAAAGGACTGCAAAACAGTGCTTGCCAGATGTCCGGGGGTCAGCAAACACCATCGTCTTGTCCTCATGTGGCCTCTCTTGTCTGTTGGGACAATGCCATTTTGGTGGTCTCTCAGGTTCGAGCACCTGCTCTTGTGTTTGCAGAGTGCTGAAGAGAAAAATAACTGAGAAAAGGTCATTAAAAGCCCTCCTTTCACCAGCTCAAACGTGAGTAATGAGAGTTTCCTGCATAATGGAGCAGGATCCTTTGCTCTATCAGGTCCCAGAAGTKGCTGTTCAACCAAGTCATGTAAAGGTGGAAGCAAACAGCAGCTCAGCCAGGAAGCACTAAACACAGCAAAGTCAGTTCCAAATTCAGCATTTCCTCCTCCTGCCATGGAAGGCATGGCTGAGCTACAGCTTGCCTGGGTGACTGGGAAACAGCTGGTRGAGATTCCTCTTAATATCCTCCTGTCTAGTCTCTCTTCCCCACAGAAGGCAGGAAAAAGCAATTCACCCRTTAATGGAATGTTTGCAAGCCAATGCTAAAGGAGAGGTTGGTTTACTGCACCGGGGTGTCTCCAAAGCCTGAAAGTTCTGATGGACCCTCTGCAGCTCCCACACCAGCGGGTGGTAACAATAAAAGGGCAAAACTGACTCCTATAAAGGCCCCCCTCCTCAGCTCATTTTCATTTTAMGACTTGACTTCTTTCATTTCACGTGACATCCCATGACTGTGGGGTAGACTTCKGGAGAGAGGAAAATAAAAGGGAATTACTTCTTTGAAAACCTCTTCAGCTTTACTTCTCTCTCCAAGGAGCCCCTAAAATACTGGGCAACCATGCAGAAAACCAAAATAACTGTTGGAAAATGGTAAAAAAAACTCCCACCACAGCACAAAACCCAAGCAGACTATAGCCTCTCTCCACTCCCAGAAACTTGATACTCCTGTCAGCCTGTGCTTGCTGTTTCCATGTCACCTTAGCCAGACACATACTGCCAAACAACCGCTCATCACATACATAAATCCTTGGAGACCCTCGGGAAGAGTCCTCTAGCTACCCAAAGAATTTCTTGGAAGATGAGACTGGTTTTATTATTGTTTCCTAATTCCTGGCACAAACCAGCCCTAAGAAGCAGAGGGTCGTGCTGAGCACCGTACCATTCCTAGTGTTTTGAGTGTCCTGAGAGACCCTTAGGAATTGCTAATGTCTTCACGACAACTTGTTTGGGAGGGACAGAACTGTAAAGAGGTGGCAGCGTGCTCAGTCCCTGCTCCTTCCTGATAAGCCCTGGAGGGAGTAGTGTCCCACCAAACGCAGCKTTGAACCACGTGGGGAAAGGGAGGCCAGAGGTTTTCAGGCACTCTTCCCCTCAGCCCAGTTTTCCAAGAGTGCAATACCTTCYGGCTGGCCAAAGGGCACCGCAGCTCATCCACCTTCTAATTAACGTGAGTGACTGGCTTCCAGTTTCCTCCAATCTGCTCTCAGTTCTTCCTCACCCACCACCCCCATTGTCCTGTGCCATTGCCCTGTTGCACCAAGGAAGGAAGAGAAGAGCCTAACAAAGGAAATTCCAGATGAGAAAGAGTCGGGGCACCCATTATCCAGGTTTTACGACATCAGGAGTCTGGTAAAGGGGAAGAAACTGTAGTGGGAGGACAGAATCGGCCCAGGTCACACGTCAGCTCTCCAAGTCTGATGAGCTTCCACCTCCTCTGGAACCACCAGTAGGAGCTCACAGTTCTTCCCTCTCAGCTGGTGTTTCAAAAATTTCCTATCGTAAAGAGAAACAGAAATGAGTGCTACTGAATGTAGAACTTTGTCATCTGCTACAACTAAATGCAACTAACTATCAGGATGTGACAAGAAATGTGGGAAAACACCCACTGTCTTTAGTTATTTTATGATAGAAAGAACCCCAAACAAATATTAAACTTGACCAAATAGATTCAACCATCTCTACCTGGAAAATTCTCGGAATGAGATAAATATTATCTTAACCTCAGCAGAAATGTCTATATAGATGCCACTTTCTAACTTTCCAAAGTAGCAAAAACAGAATTAATACCAAGTTCAGCTTCTTCATATTTTCAAGACCAAGAATCCTGCMGTAACTTAAAATACTTCCAACAAATCTGCGAAA